ACACCAATGCACATAAAATTAAAATTAAAGAAAAAGAAATTTAAACAAAACAAACCCCCTCCAAAACCAGAGCAAAGAGCTGGAGAGATGGCTCAGCACTTAGGGGCATTGGCTGCTCATTCGGAGGACCTGTATCTGACCTGGCAAACAGGGCTCACACCCCTCTGTAGCTACAGCTCCAGGCCATCCCCAGTGAGCTCCTCTGGCACCCACAAGTAGCAGCCATGCACTGGCATACATGCAAGCACATGGAATAATAAAAAGAAAACTTAATTTTAAGACCACTTCAAAATAAGTTTAAATATTTTTAAATGTAACTCACCTTCCCTCTAGAAAAAGCTTAACTCCTACCTCTGTATCTGGAGCCACTGGGCAATTGACAGAGCCCTTGACGTAGACAGGGAAAACTTGGAGAAAGAAGCTAGGTTGTTTGTTTGTTTGTTTGTTTGCTTGTTTGAAGTTTTATTTATTATTTATACAGCATTCTGCCTGCACAGCAGATCTTACTATAGATGGTTATGAGCCACCATGTGGTTGCTGGGAAGTGAACTCAGGAAGGACCGTGAGTGCTCTTAACCATCTCTCCAGCCCCAGGAGCGAGGTTTTGAAAAGGAGCTAGGTGGCCTGGAGAGATGCATCAGAGGTTAAGAGCACTGACTTCTTTTCAAAGGTTCTGAGTTCAATTCCCAGCAGCCACAGGGTGGCTCCCAACCATCTACAGTGAGATCTGGTGCCCTCTTCTGGCATGTAGGTGTACATGCAGATAGAACATTGTATACATAATAAATAAATAAATCTTTAAAAAGAAAAAAGAAAAGGAGCTAGATATTTCAACATGTTCCGACACCTTTTAAACTGGCTATGTGGTGCATGCTGGTGATCCCAGGACTGGTAAGATGGAGGTAGGAGGATACAAGTCTGCCAACAGCTTCAACCTAGACAACCCCAATGAGCCTTCACTTCAGTACTCAAAGTGGCTCAGTGTTTAATGGATTCATGTCAAACTAACATCAGAAACTGAGTTTTGATACTCAGAAACCATGTAAAAAGCTGGATATAGGAGAACTTGTTTGTGATCCTAATGCTTGGGAGAGAGGGAAAAGAGACAGGCAGATCCCTGGACTCAGACAATAATTCGGAAAAGCTAGACATTTGGATTATACTAATGTCAGGCCTTTGTTTGTTTGTTTATTTTAATTTAAGCATAGCATAATGAGATATGAACATTTGTGGATCTGACTGAAGGGATGTTCAAGAACTGGGCTTTTGTTTTTTGTAATTTACTTTAAAAGTCTGTGTGTGTGTGTGTGTGCGTGTGTGTGCGTGTGTGTGTGTGTATCTATGTGTGTATGTGTTCATGTAAGTATGAGTGCTGGAGAAGGCCAGAAGAGGGTGTTGAATCCCCTGGAACTGGAGTTACAGGTGGTTGTGAATTGCCCAAAATAACTGTTGGGAACAGAATTCCAGTCCTCAGGGACAGCAGCAGGTACCCTTAAGTGCTGAGCCATCCCTACAGCCTTTTTCAGTCTTTTGAAACAGGTTCTCTTGGGCTGGAGAGATGGCTCAGAGGTTAAGAGCACTGACTGCTCTTCATAATGGTCCTGAGTTCAATGATGGCTCACAACCATCTATAATGAGATCTGGCGCCCTCTGCTGGTGTGCACCTGTATGTGCAGACAGAATATTGTATACCTAATAAATCTTAAAGAAAGAAAAGAAATGGGATCTCTTTATATAACTCAGGCTGACCTCAAACTTTCTTCAATCCTTCTGCCCCCTTCCGGGGGGGTGTGTGTGAGACAGGTTTCTCTGTGTGCCCTAGAACTTACTTTATAGATCAGACTGGCCTTGAACTTACAGTAGTCCAACTAACTCTGTCTCCAGAGTGCTGGGACTAAAGGCATTCACACCATGCCCAGCTACAGTTTTTAATTTTACTCATTTACTACCTATTTTGAGTATTGGAGTCAGAACCTAAGGCCTTGCAAATGCCGAACAATACTATAAATAATTGTGACACTGGCCCCTCCCTGTGGATTCTAGTCAGGTACTTGATCATGCAGCCACATACATATCCAGCTTCCTGCCATTCTTCTCTTGTAAACATTATTAACTATCCAGATAACCAAAACCAATTTCCCCTAACTCAAACGCCTTCACTTAAGCCTTTCATAGTCTGTCTGTCCAAGGTCCCAGTGATCAGGGTACGGACATCTTCTGCTTCTGCTCCCAATTACAGACACAAAACCAGGAGCAAGGATCCCAGCTATCTTAGTCAGTGTTCTATTGTTGTGAAGAGACTCCATGTCCATGGCAACTCTTATAAAGGAAGACATTTAACTGGGCCTGGCTGACAGGTTCAGAGGTTTAGTCCATTATCTTCGGGGTGGGAACATGGCAACACGCAGGCAATCAAGGTGCTGGAGAAGGAGCTGAGAGTTCTATATCTGGGTCTGCAGGCAGCAGGGAGAGGCAGTGAGCCAATAAGCCTGGCTTGAGCCTCTGAAACCCCAAAGCCTATTCCTCAGCGACACACTTCCTCCAACAAGGCTACACCTACTCCAGCAAGGCCACATATCCAATAATGCCACTCCCTCTGAGTCGACGGGGGCCATTTCCATTCAGACCTAGGAAAACAAAAGAGAGCATGCTGGGCCCAGTCTGTGCAGGACAAGTTCTAACCTTTGAGAAGAGCATCAGAGTAAATGGTGACATGGCTTTAGGTCAATGAAGTGTTGTAAGCTCATCTTAGACTCCCTCCCCCCTGCAAAGTATAGAGAAGGTGAGAGAATTCACTAGGGTTGGGTTTGGCAAACAGCACCTTCAAATGGTGGCAAATAGGTAAAGACACATGGGGGTCAGGGGAAGGGCACCCAGGGATGGCTCAGCAGTTAAGAACAGTGGCGGCTTCTCCAAAACAGCCAAGAACACGGACTAATTCCCAGCACCCACACAGCAGTTCACATCCATCTGTAACTCCAGTTCCAGGGGATCTGACAATCTCCACAGACAAAAATGTAGGCAAAAAAACAATCAATGCTCCCGAAATAAAAATAATTAATTTGCTGGGCGTGGTGGGTTACAGAATGAGTTCAAAATCAGCCTGGGCAACTTAGTAAGACTGTGTCTAAAAATAAAAATGAAAAACAAAAAAAGGACTGTAAATATAGCTCAGTGGCAGGGCTCTCCTTTAGTCAGGTAGACACAATGTCTTCCTCCGTCACCACCCACATTATTTGAAGACGGGGTCTCTCCCTGAACCTGGAGTCCACAGACTCAGAATGGTTGGCCAGTAAGTCCGGATATCCTCCTATCTCTGTCTCCCCAGCGCTGCCATGACCAGTTTTTTGTTTGCTTGCTTGTTTTTTAAGACACTATTTTGGAGCACACCTGTAATCTCAGCACCCTGGGAGGCAAAAGCAGGTGGATCGCTGTGAGTTCGAGGCCAGCCTATTCTACAAGGTTAAGTCCAGGGCAGCCAAGGCTTGGGAAAACAAAACAAAACAAAACAAAACAAAACAAAACAAAGTAAAAAGAAGACACCATTCAGGCCTACGCAGAGAAACCCTGTCTCAAAAAACCCAGGCTGGCCTCAAATCCAAAGGTCCGCTTGCCTGTGCCGCACGAGTGTTGGGATGAAAGGCGACACCACAAGATCTCATAACTGACTTTTTTCGGGGGTGTGGGGAGTGTCAGAGGCCAGAAGTTCTCTGTGAGTCCCAGAAAGGGAAAGCTGCTAAGGGAAATGGCCGGGTTTAGCTCGGATTACACCTCTTGGTGCAGGTCCCCATCTCGCCAGCAGAGGGCGAGCAAGATCCCTTTCTCGATAGTGACTAGGTATCAATGCCCTTTGCTACCACCCTACCCCATCAGATGGGACTATTTTTTACCCAGTGTCATTAGACACCAGTGGCTGGAAGGCCATCTTCTGTCTGCCCTTCGGTTCCTGATGGTGACCCTGCGCATCTCCTGGGCCGACTCTAGACCCTTCCGGGCAAGCCCCGCCTCCTTTGTTGCCATTCTTGGCTTCAGCCCAGGCCTTGCTAATCTCAAAACATTTACAGAAATTCTAAGTTCAAACTCCGGGGCTCTCAGCGGCCAGGGATCCGGCGCGCATAGCAACGGTTCACACTTGCAAAAGAGGCCTCGGGAACTCAGCAAGCACCAGGGCCGCCGCAGAGCTCCTTAGGAGTAATAGAGACACAGGAATAAACAAGTCACGGCAGACACACAAAGACATTCACGGAGAGATGAGAGAGAGAGAGAGAGAGCCAGCAAGAAGTCCAGGTATGGTGGTGCACATCTGCCATCCAGCAGTTGAGAGGCAGAGGCAAGAGACTGCAACACCGAGCCAGTCTGAGCTACACACCCAAACCCAGTGTCAGTAAAAAAATAAAACAATAAGAGACAGAAAGGTAGATGGAGGCTCCCAGCCAGAGAGACAGACGCGAACGCCTCGTAAAGCGAGTACATCCAGGGCAGAAACCCTGGAGGACAGACTGGGGACAAAGAGATGGGTACTGGAGGAGGGCGGACGGACGCGGTGGCTTGTGACTGCCACCCCAGCCATCCGAAGGCCGTCACCGAGTTCAAGGCCAGCTGACGTTACAGGCTGAGGAGACCGTCTAAACAAACAAACAAACAAACAATAAATAGCCATGATGCTATCCGCCTGCAATCCCAGTATTTGGGAGGTGGAGGCCGGGGGATCAGAAATGCAGGGTCATTTCAGCCACACTGAAGTTCTAGGCCACGCTGGGCCACGTAAGACCCCGTGCCTTGAAACTAAAGCCGAAGAACTGACAGATGACTGTGAGGGAAGGCTCAAGGGACCCGCGGAAAGGCGCGGTAGCGGTGGGTGAGGGCAGGTGTGGGAACGGCAGAGGGCGCCCTGCGCGCCGCGGGGTCCCGCCGCCCCCTCCCCCGCGCCCTGGCCGGACTTGCCGTGCTATTTTTACGCGCGGACACCGGACACCGGGCTGGGGCGGCTGCGGCACCCGGGCCGGGCGTCGGGGCCACACGTCCGTTCGCCGGTCGCCCGGGCTGTGCGCGCCATGGAGCCGCGGTGCCCGCCGCCCTGCGGCTGCTGCGAGCGGCTGGTGCTCAACGTGGCGGGGTTGCGCTTCGAGACCCGGGCGCGCACGCTCGGGCGTTTCCCGGACACGCTGCTGGGGGACCCGGTGCGCCGCAGCCGCTTCTACGACGGCGCGCGCCGCGAGTACTTCTTCGACCGCCACCGGCCCAGCTTCGACGCGGTGCTCTACTATTACCAGTCCGGGGGGCGGCTGAGACGGCCGGCGCACGTGCCGCTCGATGTCTTCCTGGAGGAGGTGTCCTTCTACGGGCTGGGCGCGGCGGCGCTGGCGCGGCTGCGGGAGGACGAAGGCTGCGCCGTGCCGCCCGAGCGGCCGCTGCCGCGCCGAGCCTTTGCGCGCCAGCTCTGGCTGCTCTTCGAGTTCCCCGAGAGCTCTCAGGCGGCGCGTGTGCTCGCCGTGGTCTCCGTGCTCGTTATCCTGGTCTCCATCGTGGTCTTTTGCCTCGAGACGCTGCCAGACTTCCGCGATGACCGCGATGACCCGGGGCTCGCGCCGGTGGCGGCGGCCACTGGCCCGGTGAGGGGCGGGGATTTGGGGAGGGCCAGGGCGGGGCCTTGGAAGACCTGGCCAGTCCGAAGGTGTGACAAGGGGCAGGAGGATGCAAGCACTAAAAATCCAAGATGTAAGCTGGGTACGGTCCTTCCTACGTGAATCCCAGCACTCAGGAGACCTAGACAGAATTGCCAAGAGCTGAAGGCCAGTCTGGGTTTCGGTATGAGAGAGCCTACCTGCAAACAGTGACTGAGGATGTGCCTCAGAGGTAGACAGCCTATCCAGAATTCCCCAGCGAGAGACCGGGGCGTGGCTCAGTGGTAGATCGGCTGCATTGAATTACAAAGTGCCTTGGGGTCGGAGGTTGTGTGGTTCAGTGGTAGAACTCCTGCCTACTGCTGCACAGTGGGGGACTGGAGAGATGGATGGTTCAGCCACTAAGTGCGCTGACTGTTCTTCCAGAAGACCTGTAACTCCAGTTCCAGGGGATCTGATGCCTCTGCTGGCCTTCTCAAACACCAACGCTCGCTCGTGGTGCACGGACATACATACAGGCAAATCATCCATTCCCATTAAAAAAAAAAAAAAAAATCTCCCAGTGAGGGGTGTGGCTCAGTGGTAGTGCTCCTGCCTAAAAGCCTTCAGTGAGGGGCATGGGGCGGTCAGGGTTGTATCAATGGAGAGCAGCTTGCCAACCATAAGCAAAGCCCTGGGGTCCATCCCCAGCAGTGTGGAATGAACATGCGTGGCCAAACACTGAAGACGGCAGTGTCTGTGCAACTGGCAGAGAAATAGGAAAGACGGAGGCGTGGCCGGGTAGGGGTGACTGTCAGTGAGTTGGAACGTGGTGGGTTGAGGTTTAGGACTGAGAGCTGAGGTAGCAGGAATTTGTACAGAATCAGTCTGGGGCATGGAGCTGAATCATTCTAGACCACTGTAGTCTGGTCCGGGTAGAAGACATCAGGAGAGGCTTGACATGAGACGAGGAAGGCAGAGCCAGCTCAGGACCCTGCCCTCGGAGATTCGATCCTGGGAAGCAGGGCAAGAGGCCGAAAGGAAAGAGGTTCTTCCGGATCAACCATGCGAGCAGGGGTTCCCGCCAAGGAAAGCGCAGGGGCTGCATTTTGGTTATTATTTTTTTTTTTGATTGTGGATATGGAAAAGGGTGAATTAAACAAGGTCTCAGTATGTAGCCCGGGGTGGCCTGGAACTTGCTATGCAGACCGAGACTGGCAGTAAACTCACAAGGGATCCAGCTGTTTCTGCCTTCTGAGTGCTGGGGTTGACGGTGTGTGCCATGACAGTTGGCCTTGTTTTAATTTTTGATGTACTGTGGTACAACCCAGAGCACTAGGCAGGTGCTCGACCCCTGACCCAAGCCTCCAGACCCTCCCTCACTGGGTGATGCTAGACAGGAGTTCTACCCCTGAACCATACTGCCAACCTGTCTTGGGGGATTCTAGTCAGGAGTTGCTATCACTGAGCCCCTGTTCCCGTCACTGGGTGATTCTGAACAGGGCCTCCACCACTGAGCCACACCCTGAACCCCTCGAAGGCGGTTCTAAGCAGGACCTGTGTCCATAAACTACATCCCCGACCTTATTTCCACTTTTTAATTTTGAGACAGTCTCATAAGTTGCCCATGTCTGTCTTGTAATTACATTTCCTGCCTCAGTCTCCTGAGTATGGGGTGACAGGCTTGTTCCAGCAGACCCAGGAGACACCACCTTTTTGCCCATAGGTCTGCAGAACAGAAATTCAGCCATCCAAAGACAGTCAGTCCCTGGGGTCCTGGGTTGTGTAGGACAGTCAGATCTCCAGGGAACACTGCCATTGGGACTTTGCTATTGAAACAGTGACTAAAGGTGCTGCCTTGGTCTCTTGACCCTTTTCTGTCCCCTCTGCAGCTCCTTGCTCGGCTGAATGGCTCCAGCCCCTTGCCTGGAGCTCCGTCCCGCCCTCCCTTCAACGATCCCTTCTTTGTGGTGGAGACTCTGTGTATCTGCTGGTTCTCCTTCGAGTTGCTGGTGCGTCTAGTGGCCTGCCCAAGCAAAGCCGTATTTTTCAAGAATGTGATGAACCTTATTGACTTTGTGGCCATCCTGCCTTACTTCGTGGCACTGGGCACCGAGCTAGCCCGGCAGCGGGGTGTGGGTCAGCCAGCTATGTCCCTGGCCATCCTAAGAGTCATCCGACTGGTGCGTGTTTTCCGAATCTTCAAGCTATCCAGGCATTCGAAGGGCCTACAGATTTTGGGTCAGACGCTGCGGGCTTCTATGCGTGAGCTAGGTCTCCTCATCTTCTTCCTCTTCATTGGTGTGGTCCTCTTTTCCAGCGCAGTCTACTTTGCTGAAGTGGACCGAGTGGACACCCATTTCACCAGCATCCCGGAGTCCTTTTGGTGGGCAGTGGTCACCATGACCACAGTTGGCTATGGCGACATGGCACCCGTCACTGTGGGTGGCAAGATCGTGGGCTCTCTGTGTGCCATCGCAGGCGTGCTCACCATCTCTCTGCCTGTGCCCGTCATTGTCTCCAACTTCAGCTACTTTTACCACCGGGAGACTGAGGGCGAAGAGGCAGGGATGTACAGCCACGTGGACACACAGCCCTGTGTCACACTGGAGGGCAAAGCCAACGGGGGGCTGGTGGACGCCGAGGGGCCTGAACTCCTACCACCACTCTGGGCCCCCCCTGGGAAACACATGGTGACAGAGGTGTGAGGGGCAGCTGGGGTCTTCAGGAAGCAGAGGGGGGAGGGCGGAGGGAAGGCGGGGACAGGTGCTGGGTTAAGGACTAAGGTGGCGACAAGAGGGAGCAGAGTCTGGAGCAGAGTTCTGCCCTGAGGTATCCTGGGGGACCTCATGTAGACACCAAGGGCCAGGATTCGGGTTGCATCCAGGCCTGCCTTGTCGGTTGTGCAACGCTGCAGAGCTGCACAAATTTCCAGCCCCGAAAGGAGCTTCATCTCATGTTGTGAGTTTCCTGGGCGTCTGTGGGTCCCATGGGGGCATGTGTGGTCTGATTCAAGTCTATGGTGAGTAGTTGTGTGGCGTGGGTCCTCTCGGGCCAGGCTGGCTCCTGTGGGACTCTGCAGCACTCCTAAGAGTGAGCATGCGGCCACACGGTCTCGCACAGTGGCCATGTGGAGACGCACAGGAGACTGCACGGAGCCGTGCTTCTAGGACTCAGCTAGTTTCCATTCTGTGAGCTCTGCAGTCTCGCCGGCCGAGTGTGATCACTCAGGGTCCTGCTGGGAGAAACTGGGTTAGAGTATAAGGGATAGAAAGAGGCAGAGACCCAGAGAGAAAGGGACAGAGACCCCCCCCCCAGGCCATAGCTCTCTGTTCTGTAGCGTTACAGGGCTGGACCCTTTTTAGGGCCATGCAAAGCTGAGGTGTGTGAAGAAGTGTGGCCATACGAGGCTCCTAACATCACGACAGTCGGGTCTGATGATGTCTTTGGTCTCATGGGACTATGCTGATTCGTTTCAATGTGAGTTTCAATTGTGTTGGTTGAGTCTGACTATATGTGAGGACCATAGGGCCATGTTAAGTAGTAGCATCAGAACCCAAGGATCACAGCACAGATAAAACTAACGGCAAGGGAGCCAGCATGGGCACATGGCGTGGGGGCAGGGGGTTGCGCTGAAGAAGCTGGTAGCTCCTGTCCTCCGGGGCCTCTGCTCCATTCATCTGGAGACTCTGGGAACTAGCTGCTAGCTTACTCTGCTCATTCAGGACCCAGCTCTACATTGCCTCAGGCTGGAGCACGGAGATTCAAAGGCTGGAGCCACAGGAAAGAAAAACACAGTGGGGAAAGAGTAGGAGGACATGACAGGGGGACAGAGGTCTAGAGAGGAGAGAGAAAGAGGGAGACGGGGCAAGGAGAAAGGGAGAAGGAGAATGAGGGAGAGAGGGAAGGGGAGAAGAGGAGAGAGAAAAAGGGAGGGGAGGAAGGGAGAGGGGAAAGAAACGGTGATGGATGTCAGACAAGCAGGAAGAGGGAGAGATGCATGAGAGAGAGAGAGAGAGAGAGAGAGAGAGAGAGAGAGAGAGAGGGAGAGGGAGGGAGGGAACCACAGTAGCCTTGAGCCCAAGGGTCGCCCTCTCTATTCTCTGAGTCATGACAGGCTCTAAACCTTGGCGTCAGCATCCCTCACAGCCAAAGGAGGTCACCACACTCCTGGAGGTGCTCCGTTTCCTAGGGCAGAAAACCAAGGCTGTAAAATGCTGTGGCTTTCCCCAAGGCCACCCAGCACATCAGAGAGCCGGGGCTGGTGACAGGCGGCCTGCCAGTGACACCCCCACAGCTCTGAGGTGCAGGTAGTGCCCGAGGCCACTGGTCCTGTGTCATTTTGTTTTGCTTTATCTTCTAAAACAGGGTCCCCTTGTGTCACCCTGGCTGTCCTGGAAATGACTGTGTAGACCAGGCTGGCCTTGAACTCACAGAGCTTGTCCTGTCTCTGCCTCCCAAGTGCTGGGATTAAAGATGTGCGGGCCACTGTGCCTGGCAGGGCCCTGCCTCTTATAGAGGAGGAAGCTGATATGGAGGGAACAGGGTTACCCTAGGCTATAGAGAGACAGTTTTGGAGACTTCTGGGACTGAGAGGCATTTTAGGGAAGATGAGAGGTCATAATCACTAACAGAGTTCAGGGTATTTGACTGGCATTAACTTATTAAAACTTGTTCACTATTTGCCTAGTGTTGTTATTTTTGATAACGGTGTCAACTGCTTTAGTCATATGAACTCTTGCTTAAGACCTGAGGGTGAAGCATTTTAGAGAAGCTGCCTCGGGGATCTGTCTCCTCTGAGACATTTAAGACGTCAGGGAAGGGCTGTGAGGAGAACCCTTTATATCACCACTCATCTTGCCATACAAGGGAGAGGAAGGGGGGCCAGTGGGAAGAGTGTGATGTAACGGACATGGTAGACTCTAAGGGTGGGTACTTCACTCTGACATACCGAAAAACTCACTGTCACAGAAATGGAGACTGATCTGAACACAGGGACCAAAGACAGATTACCCTGACTATAGACACAAGCTCTATCACAGAATACATGGGAGAGGTGATGGGTGTGGTTGAAAAGCATGACCTAGATGGAGGACAGATGCCAGGCAGAAAGAAGGCAGAGTTCAGGGTTCAGGAAGACCAGGAAAGGAAGGGAGGGAGAAAGGGAGAATATGAGACCAAGGAAAGAGACAGTGTTTTCCTCTCTTCTTTATAGACCTCCCCGTTGACCCCCAGAGACTGGAGTTGGAGGCCGTTGGTAGGGATGGGCTGTGCCAGGAAAGAATGAGAGGTCAGAGAGGTGACCCAAATGGACACCAAGACAGGGAAGTGTCCCTTCCCACCTCCAGTAAACAACTGGAGTGGGCTCCTGAGTCACCCTGGCTGGGATGGCAGCTTGAGGGGAACACCCTAATCCGGGGACACCCTTCCTGCCACTTTGCCATGCTATATTTAGGTTTGGGGGATGGGTGCTGGGTGACCCCCCCCAAGCAAGTGTCAGCTTTCCTCCTAAATATAGCTCAGGGGTAGGGGAGCCAGAGTCCCCGAGGGGGGGGCATGGGCGAGCAAAGGGCCCTGTCACCCAAGGGACCCGTCCAGCTGCAGTGACACAGACCCTGCTTGAGACCTCGCCAGCAGCTTGCCTTTCTTTCTGAGGCCCACCTCTTGGGGTGTTTCCCTCCCTCTAGGGCTCTGGCTTCTCTGGCCGGGTCTTTGTCCCCTCTGCTTTCTCTTTCCTTTCCTATGGGTCACAGCTGGCTGTTTCGTTCCACAAGACACAGTTCTGAAAGTTCACCATGGCCTCCTCACACTAATTACCTTGAGGTTTTCTTATCCACCCCAAGACTCCCTGGTCCCCAGCCAGAAAATTCCAGGACAGAAGACTATGTGGGGGAGCCCCCACAGTCACTGTCTCCAGGCGTTGGGCCTTATCACTGCCCAAGCCCAGCTGGCTAATGTCTGGCCGGGAGATCCAAGAGGGGAGACAGGAGCAGAGGGTGGGAACCTGCGCTAGACACCATAGCAATCCCAGGCCTGAATCTGAGTCTGAGGGGAAAGTCTGGGGTCTGGACCCCTGGGTCTGAGAGAGGAGGGCTGACAAAAAAGACTGGGGTGTGGACCCCCGTGTCTGAAGGAGGCCTGGAGCCTGGCCCCCTGAGTCTGAGGGAGGAGGGGCGGGGTCTGAACCCCAGCGTCGGATGGACCGGGGCTACAGCCTAGACTCCGGGAACAGAAGGGGCCGGCCCGGCTTCCGAGGTGCCGGCACGCGCGAGCTAGGCGGGATACCCCGCCCCTCCTCCGCCGTCGGGCGCCGCCCCGCCTCCTCCAGACCCAGGCCCTCCCAAGCGCGAACGGCCGGCAGCCGGCGAGCAGCGGTGTCCGAGCTGCAAACGAGCCGGAGGAGGAGCCGCGGCGGCGCCAGGGGCAGCCGGGGAGCAGAGAAGGGCGCCCCAGGTAAGAGCTCCGCGCTCCTCTGGCAGATCCCTCCGTCCCGGTCGCCCGGCCCCCGGGTAGGGAGGGACGGGGGCGGGGCCGACAGGGGCGGGGCTTGGCGGAGGAAACTGAGGCAGGACGGAAGTGTCCTAGAGGTGGAGCCGGTCCCCTCCGACCGCTTCAGGAGTGGGGATCGCAGGGAGCCCCCATTTATGAGCACTTTGGAAGAGGGCCGCAGTCCTAGAACCTGAGGGTCTGCGGGAGGAGGCGTCTGGGGACCCAGGCACGCTGGCTGAGAAGGGATGGTTCTGGGGCCTTGGGGCCCCGGGGCTGAGGAAGGAGGCAGCGGGCACCCGCACTCCCTGTATTGGTGTGGCAAACCTCTGCCCCTGATCACACTCAGCTCTTCCCGTTCCCCCATCTCGGAGCCTGGCCAGCCAGACACTCCAGGTATGCGCAGTCGGAGTCTCGGGCGGGCCCTGGCCTGTCCTGCGAGGAGCGAACATTCCAGGAAGCAGCCTCAGGGACCCAGAGCGTGGGTCGGCAGGGACCGGGTGTCCAGGCCAGCTCCACCCCCGCCGCGTCTAGCGGAGGAACGGGAGGAGGGGATGGCATCCCTTCCAGCTGCCTCACCTGGCCCTCCTCTCCGCCCCCTCCCGTCTGCTCCGCATCCCTCCAGAGCTGTCACCTTCCCCGGGAGGGGGGCCTCTGGAGGTGGGCGGGGCCTCTACTCCAGGGTACCCTAAGCTTTCAAAAGACTCTGGAGAGGGTGGCTTTTCATGGGGAGGTCGTGCCCTTCCCCCTTCTGCCTAGGTAACTGGTTTCCTTCCTCCCACAGGTGGTTGCCTCCTCCCTCTCCTGCGATGTCGGGGAGGAGACTACCTGGAGCCTACACAGGGGCCCCACAGAGCCTGGGGGCCCCCGGCCCCAGAGTGAGGAGGCGGAGGTGCTGCTGACAGGTCTGGTAGTCATTCACCTGCTGCTTTCCAGTCCTGGCTTCTAGAATGTTCTAGTCTCTCCCTCTCCCTCCCGGCATCTCCCAGCACCTGCTCACACTCAGGAAAATCAAGGCCATGAAAGTGGGAGGATTCAGGGCTCCTCCAGGTTATAGGAACACGAGAGCCAAGTGACATTGCTCAGAGTTCAGATCTTACCCGTGCCGCGTGCTGGCTGTGTGACCTGGTTGAAATCAGTTCTCCTCGAGTTTGACTGTCCAGCCCCGGCTGGCATGGAACTCACGGTGTGACCGGGGCAGGCTTCAACGCTGCGGCCATCTTCCTGCCTCTGCCTGGTTGCCGCGGTTACAAGTGTGCATCACCACACCCAGTTTGGGCTATTAATTTATACTAACTAGATAATTATTATTAGCCCACACGTTGAGCATTCCTGGGGTTCTAGAGCACGGGGTGGCCCCAAGTTACTCCCACAGTGTGCCAAGCTGACATCTGCCCCCGGGGAGGCAGGAAGAGTGGCCGGCAGCCAGGTGTCTCCCTTCTCTAACGGCCACCTCTTTCTCCATCTTCAGGTGCGCAAGCCATGCTCCCTCACCCCTCCTGCGTCCTTTTCCTCTTCCTCCTCCCCAGCGTCCCCATGGAGCCCCAGCCCCCATCCTCCACCCTGCCCCCATTTCTGGCCCCTGAGTGGGACCTCCTGTCTCCCCGAGTGGCCCTATCAAGGGGCACCCCTGCCGGCCCCCCTCTGCTCTTTCTGCTGGAGGCCGGGGTGTATGGGGAACCCGCAGGGGCCTCAGCCAACCGCAGCCGGCGCGGGGTGAGCGAGACAGCGCCCGCGAGCCGCCGGGGTGAGCTGGCGGTGTGCGACGCAGTGAGCGGCTGGGTGACCGACCGGCGGACGGCCGTGGACCTGCGCGGACGCGAGGTGGAGGTGCTGGGCGAGGTGCCCGCCGCGGGGGGCAGCCCCCTGCGCCAGTACTTCTTCGAGACGCGCTGCAAGGCCGAAGGCGCGGGGGAAGGGGGCCCAGGGGTGGGCGGAGGGGGCTGTCGCGGTGTGGACCGGAGGCACTGGCTCTCGGAATGCAAGGCTAAGCAGTCCTATGTGCGGGCGCTGACTGCAGACTCCCAGGGCAGAGTGGGCTGGCGCTGGATTCGGATCGACACAGCTTGCGTCTGCACGCTCCTCAGCCGGACAGGTCGGGCCTGAGGTCCAGGCCTGAAATCTGCTCAGGTTGAGGAAAGAAAGGACCTCAGCGGCGGCCTGGCTGCTCTTCCGTGCCTTCTGATTGGGAACTGAAATAACCACGGAATCACATCTCTCTTACTTTGCGAGCTCAGTCTGTGTGGAATGTGTGATGAGAAACCAAATGGGGTTTCAAGTGATGAGTAGGAGTTCTCCTGGAGGAAATTGACAGTAATAATAATAATAGCCATGCTTACTATCTACTGTTTATCAGACCTCATGCACGACCCTGCTGACCATTCCAACGTCAGAGGACCTGGTTCACCCTGGCAAGAGGGACAAGGAAAGAACATGTAAAAACAAATGATGAGTGAGCGGGGCTGTCTCATCGGCAGGCTGTTTCTGTTTGCCTAGCATGCACAAAGTCCCAGGTTCTGTCCTGAACGCTGCATCGAAAGCAGGCGCGGTGGTGCGCATCTGCCGTGCGAGCACCTGGAGGTAAAGGCAGGTAGATCAGGAGTGCACACGGCCATCCTTATTCACACGGGGAGCTTGAGGCCAGCCTTGCCTATACGAGACCCTATCTCAAAAAAGAACAGGACAGAAAGTGGGGCTGGGTGTTTTCACATGCACCTGTAACCCTCCCACTTGGGAGCTGTAGACAGAGCAGTGATACAGGGCTGAACCCTTTTCAGGGCCATGCAAGGCTGAGGTGTGCGGAGAAGAGTCTAAGGACTAAGGAGAGATGGGTCTGACGACGTCCCCGGCCTCATGGGACCACGCTGGCTTGTCTCACAGTGGGCCCCATGGGAATGCTGCTTAGATTTGGTGGATGTGGGGAACACAGGATTACGTTCCGTAGCATCAGAGCCCGAGGATCGCAGGGCAGTCTGAGCTACATAAACTGTCCTGGCGGGGGCAAAGGTGAATGGGTCAGATGGAAAAGCAATGGAAGCAGCTAGCCCCAGAGCCTTGAGGACTTGGCTCTTTAAAGACCTCGCAGCGCCTGCAACCCTGCCTTCACAGTCTGACCCGGCCAGTGCACCCTAGTGTTGGCTAGGAACACAGCACTAGTGAACCCGACCACCCAGGCCCAGATAGCTCACATCCGGATCATCTTCTTTGTTTAGCTTTGATTTTGGAGACAGGGTTTCCTGTAGCTCATTGGAGGGGTGACCTTGAACTTTTGTTTTGTTGTTTTGATTTTCTGAGACAGGGTTTCTCTGTGCAGCCTTGGCTGTCCTGGAATTCACTCTGTAGTCCAGGCTGGCCTTCAACTCAGAGCTCTACCTGTCTGGGATGAAAGGTGGGCACTTATCTCCTAGGGATGGAACGCAGGGCTTCCTGCACGCTAGGCAAGGGCTCCATCAGCTGACCCCCACACACACCTTTATGTTTTGGGACAGGTTTTCATGACTCTCAGGCTGGCCTAGAGCTGGAATATGCTGCTGAGGATGACCTTGAACTCTTTTTTTAAGATTTAGTTTTGTATGGATGAGTGTTTTGCCTGTGCGTATGATGTGCACCATGGTCTCCGTTCCCACCAGAACAGAGTACTGGCTGCCCTGGGCCTGGCGTTACAGATGATCGGGAGGCACTGTGTGTGTGTGTGTGTGTGTGTGTGTGTGTGTGTGTGTGTGCGCGCGCGCGCGCTGGGAACTCAACCTGGGGCCTCTGCCAGAGCAACAAGTGCTCTTAACTGCTGGTCCATTTCTCCAGCCCCAGCCTTCATCTCGAGTGCTGGGGTCACAGGTGTGCGCAACCACACCCGGGAGACAGGGTCTCTAGATTAGGCTAGACCCGAATCTCAGGCACCACGGTGTTGGTGTGGCAGGCCCGAGCCATCACAGGGCGGTCTTTGAAGGCTAGTGTTTCACATTCAGTGTTTCACATTCATGGGAGCCCAGACCACCACAGGCAGAATCCACCCCTAACGGCTCCGAGCGTGGCCCTATTCCCACCCCCTAACCACCTCCCTCTCAGTCTCTCTGACTTCCTGTCTCTTTTCTGTGGGTGATGAGCCCCCCCTTTTTTTCTAAGTGTTTCCTGGTGTATTTCTTTCCCTCGCTCCCCTAGCTCCCATACCCAGGTGGAAGTTTTCAGCCAAATGAAAGGCAGGCAGGACTGGGGACGCTTGACCTTCATTCACCCTTCTGGAAACTGTCTGGAAACTGTTACCCCGAGGTGGGCAGGCCTGGTAGAGGAAGAGGCAGCCTGAGAGCCAGGGGTCCTAAGGGAAGGGGGGGTTTAGTTCCCCTCCCCGAGTCAGCCTGTCTCCTTGTCTGTTGTGTCCCCTCTTTTTTCTTTCTCCTCCTCTATAGGGAGTCTCCACCCTTCCCCAGTATCTGTGTTTCTGCGTGGGTCTTTCTTAGGGTCTCCTTGATCCTTTTTGAAAGTCCTAATGGTGGGGGAGGGGGTTCTAACTCTACACACACCATTGGCTGGGCTCAGGGTGGAAAGGTTCTGTTACTAGGGGCAACGGCCACAACAAGCCTGCTTCTCGGCTTCCATGAAAGTGTGAGGACCATGGTAGGTCGGAAACTAGCTCTGCAATATGGGACCCCTAGGTCTCCCATTTCTGAAACTAAGGTGCCTGGGACCTCTCCCAACTCGTATCTCACAAGCAGCGGGATTGCCCACCGCAAGATCCCATGGGTGGCCTTTCGCCTGCCCACTCTACAGGTGAGAGGGCGGAGGCTAGGATGGAAGGAAAGGGGGCGGTTCACAAACTTGTATGCCCAGAGGAGAGGATGAGGGTTAGACTCCTGTCTGCAGGAGGGGCCTGGGAGCCTGGATGTGGATGCCAGGAGCTGGAAGGAAAGGGGATGGCTTTGTGGGTCTGTGGGCTGATCTATGCGCCTTCTCCCCCAGTCTACATTGGAGGCGCCCCTGCCTGCAGCCATGAAGCAGGACCCACGAATTTGTGCTTTTGATGAAGTCATCAGCAGATGGGAAACCACCTCTGGCTCGGCATACACACCGAAGGCGCATGGTGGCCCCTGTGCTCAGCCCAGGGCAGTAGAGAATAAGGACCCCAGGCGGCCACTAGGCATCAAGTCTTTTGTAGAGAAGGTAGGGTTCAGGGACCCTGTAGTCCAGGGGACAGAGCACTGGACACTGGAGCCCCTGATCCCTCCTCACCAGTCTTTGGGCTGCCGTCCTGCAGCTAAGAAGACAACCGGGCTTGGGTGTCACTCGGAACAGAAAACACCAGATCAGCGAGATGAAGGCTCAGTACCTGGGCTTGCCAGGCTTGGACCAGACAGCCCCTCTCTTTGCGGACCCCCAACCCCTGGAGTTCATTGACCACTTCCGAGGGGGCCCTTCCCAGGTAGAGTGGATTGCATGAGCACTGTGGGAAGGAGCCTGGGGCTGCCCAGAGGGTTAGGGAACAGACTGAGCCACTGGACTACAGGAAGATATTGGATTGGGAGTCAGGGTGCCAGCGCTTGAACTGTTGGGAGACAGAGCCAGGAGGCTTGGAATGCTGCTTCTGGAGGCTGTGGGATGCCTGTGAATGAACTAAGGTAGGCGCTCCCCAGAGCTAATATTCTGAGACACGGTCAGGTTAGCAGATGAAATTAATGTCCAGTGTCAGGGTAACTTTTGACTAGGAGGGAAAATGGAACAGGGGTGTGGCTGCAGCTGGAGTTTGGGCTCTCAGCACTAAGCATTTGGATAGGGTACAGGGCTCCCAAGGACCGGTTTGAGGTACAAAGCCTAAGGTTGGTGGGAGGGTTTTAAACAGGGAACCCAAACTTGTTCACTTCTTTCACCAATACTCTTCAGGCCCTAATTCCCTGGACGAGGAACCCTGAGCTGGCTGGCCAGCCCTTCACAGTGCATAAGATGGGTGCCCTGGATCGCCTGCAGCTCTACCTGACCACTTCCGCACAAGACTTCCAGAGGTGAGCCTGTGCCCTGAGGGTGCTGCTGTGAGCAAGCCCCTCTCACTGGCAGCCCTAACAGCATAGTTACCACAGCACTGACCCAAACTGAACCTAGCGCCTCCTCCAGGGGAGGAAGAACCCATTTTCAGGCCCTGGAGGCCTGTGCAATCTAAACTCTGAGGCTCTTGGTCCCACTCACCTCCTGCCCCACCCACAGGAAAGAGTTGCCTGGATACCCCAATCGGGAATTGATCTGCACAGGTCCGCTCCAGAAGTCTCAGGTCCCCAGCCAACGCCAACTTAAGCTCCAGGAAGGTGCAGAGAGGATGCGCCTAGGCCGTGGACACCAAATGCCACCACCGGCTGTACCGCACACGGGGGTCCTGCCCCTGACTCGAGAGTCCTACAGGTCCCCAGTGTACCCGCTCTGCAGGGTGAACCACTTTTGCCTACCCTGGAGCAGCCCCCACCCAAAGCCTGTGCCGGGCATCTACAGCGTGCCCAAGGCCTACAGCACTGAGAACTCCCGCTATGGCAGTGCCAGTACTGAGCTGCTGTGAGCCCCACCCACCGCAAAAAAAACAACAGCATTGGATTTGTGGGCGGGTCAACCCAGACATACCCCTCCTTCCCTAAGCAGGAGCTTCCTCCTGGCAGAGTTTACAGATCAAGTTTTATAGCTGAAACCACACCCATTATTTGGACTCAGTCCACGAATACTGACTCGGGGCTTGGGCGGGTGGGTGGCGCTCTACCCCTGGTTTAGTAAAATTGGAGGCCCACTCAGCATGGGCAAAACCTAACACTGGAGCTATATCTCCCTGTACGGCTACACCCGAACATGAGAGCAGGTTAGCTTCCAGCTTGCCTGAGGTTTACTCTGGCATCTTAGGGGCCCAGCTAGCAGCCTGCAGAGTCCTCCCCTTCCCGGTTTCCTGATGAAGGAGCCATGGGTCCTTCCTGTGCCTGTTTCTATGCTCCCGACGTGAGCGAAGCTCAGACACCCGGGCTGAGTATGAGGCCACGTCACTGCGACGCTGGCGCCCGTCCCTCGCCTGCCTGACCTTGCCCGTCTCTCGCCCCCAGGGAGATTAGTGTCTAGGTTACCCAAGCCCACAGGTGCTGCTGGGTGGCCTTGCCACCCCCACAGGCCACAGGTATAAAGCCAGGTGGCCAAGGTAGGGGAGGCATCAAGAATGGAGAGGCTCCAGGTAAGACTAGGGCCTGAGCGCCTCCCGCCTCCACTAGACCCCAACTAGCACAGACCGACAGCCCTGTGAGGTAAGGCAGGGAGGGCGGGTAGGAGGGGGCTCCTAGTGGCGGACTCCAGGCAGGAGAGAAATGGATTTGTTTGCTGCTGATGGGTCCTGAAGGCCGGGAGCTGTATTATGCTGAGTGGGTTCAAAGCCTGGGATGGAAAACCTGGGTCAGGGCTGGACTCAGACACTGGCTCATCCCAGGGGCTGCTGCTGTGGCTGCTGCTGAGCCCTGGCGTGCTGTGGGCCTGCAGAGGGCCCCCTCGGCCACTGTGCCGGCCTGTCAACACAACCCTGGCCGCAGAGAAGGAGTTCTGCCCAGTCTGCATCACCTTCACCACCAGCATCTGTGCCGGCTACTGTCCTAGCATGGTGAGCTGACCAACGGGCAGGGACGTCACTTCTGACCGAGGGTGCTGCCACCACAGCTAGCCCTAAGACAGCTGGTGGCGGTGGGCACAGAGATGGCATCTGGGCAGGGTCATAGCTACTGAGGGGGGATGGAGGAGCAGTGGGCATGCAGCCCAGGACTGGGGGCAGGGGCACTCAGATGAAGACTTTTTCCACTTGGGCGCAGGTCCGAGTCCTGCCGGCTGCTCTGCCTCCAGTACCCCAGCCAGTGTGCACCTACCGTGAGCTGCGCTTCGCATCTGTCCGCCTGCCTGGCTGCCCACCTGGTGTGGACCCCACGGTTTCCTTCCCTGTGGCCCTCAGCTGCCGCTGTGGGCCCTGCCGTCTCAGTAGCTCTGACTGTGGGGGTCCTAGGACTCAACCACTGACCTGTAACCTCCCCCATCTCCCTGGACTCCTCTTCCTCTGACACCCACTCCCTAATTCCTCTATCTCCGGGAGCTAGCAGGTGTCCCAGCTGTCCCTCCCAATAAAGGCTTTACAACTGCACTCGGGTGTCAGCCTGTGGGCACTGAAGACACAGCAGAGCTCCAGTTTCCAACCATTTTATAAAAAGTCACACCGTCAGAACTTGTAGAAAACAGCATAGGGGTGGCTGAGGAGAAGTGTCAGCTCAGGAGGTGTCCATTGTTTCGCCTTCTGCAGAGAGGGAAAACCAAGTATGTGAGAGGGCCAGGGTGCTCCTGTGTACCCTCTCCCACAGTGCCAACAGCCTGGGTGACACTCACTGAGCTCATTGAAGAGGAAGGCGTCCTGGTATTCCTTCATATACTGTGTGGAGCGGGACTCATCCAGGAAGAGGGAGTACACTCGCTTGATGTCGTCCACCTGCACCTCTGTGCCCTGGGAGCGGGGGGGACTCGGCTCATGTCAGCACGGCCCTCCCCTCCTCCTGCCTTTTCCTCTAAGATGGCCTGGGCTGCTGTGACTCTGAGGGCCCACCCAATATCCATGTGCCGTGGCCCATGGGCCACCCTAGGGGCCACCCCTCAACCCTCCAGGCTGACTTGCTGGCTGACCTTTCGTTTCCGGCACACCAGGCTGGCCGCCGTGATGAGCTGAATAGCGTAGCGCAGGGAGGTCTCCAGCCCAATGCGGGTCAGCACTGTGTAGGCGTCCTCGCTCATCTCCACATCTTCCTCCTCACAGCTGTGGGAAGGCGATCACGGCACATCAGCCCACCCCTCCCCTAGCACACATGGACACCGGGTCTCAGAACCACAGGCAGGGCCTCCTGACCCCACCCCACCGCCAGCTCTCCCCACGGCTGGGATGCCACACTGGTCTCTGCAGACCCGGAGGCCCAGGCGAATGCCATACCGGATGCGCAGGATCTGCTTGGTGTCCTTCTCACTGTAGGGGGATGTGGACACGATGAGCAGGCGGTCCAGCAGGTCAATGGGAATGCCATGGGGACTTTGGTAGCTGGTGCCTCGGATCCTGGGGGTCAGGGAAGACAGTTAGTGGATGTTCCTGGAAACCAGTCTGGCCATCATAGCCCACGTGGGAGCTGAAGGCTATGCAAGCAGCCTTTGCCCGCTGTGCTAGTGGCCGTCCTGTCCCGTTGCCCCGGCAAGCCCAGACAGTTCTCGATGGCAATGGGACCTGTAGCAATTTGTTCCAGTCAGAGGCAGTTTAGCCACAAATATGAGAACGCTGCTCTCCAGGGAGGTGGCTCACGGTGGCTGCCAGAATCCAACCTGCCAGCCACACACTTTCATGTACTGGGGTTGCAGGTGAACGTCAGCGGACAAAGGCGTCCTCAGGACTGGCGCTCTCCATGCCCTGGTCTAAGGCTGCCTGTGCCCCTACCCCGCCACCCTCAAGCCTATGGCCTTCGGCAAGTTGCTCAGCTTTCTTGGCCCATTCTGTGAAATGGAGTGGGTCAAGTAGCCAGGCCACAGCTTGTTTGGGCTGTCTGCCCTCTCTGCCTTCCTCACAACTAAGGTAACTCCAGTTCCAGGGGACCTGACGCCCTCTACCGGCATTTGTGGGCACCACATGCTGCTGTGTATATCCACAGACACAGAGAGAAGTAAATCAGAGAGAGAACACACACCGTTCTTGCGGGGGACCCGGGTCGATTAGCTCACAACTGCCTGGAGGTCTAGCTGCAGGGGATCTGCCCACACCTGCATTCACGCTTGCACATAAACCCTCCCACATACAGACGTGACTTACAAAAGGACACCATGGTAAAAACAGGGAGTCTGGCTCCCCAAACCCAGGTCCTCTGCAAGAGCAGTATGTGCCCTTAACCTGGGAGCCATCTGTTTAGACCTGTTTTCTTTTGAGAAAGGGTCCCATGTAGCCCAGGCTAGCCTAAAACTTAAACTCTTCCAGTCTCTGCCTACATAGTACTAGGACTATGGGAGCATCTTTCGTCAAAACTTCTGCGCTGTGATGATTAACTGGCTGGGCCGGAATGCCATGATTGATCACAGCAGTCTGTGACGTATCTGACAGACAGCCCTGTGCTCAGCGCAGGGCCAACTTCCTGGGGCACCTTCGGGTGCCTTGGCCAACAACTTTGAACAGCTGAACAGATTGTAGATCTGCCCCGGATTGTGGGGACCATGGTGAAGGTGCTCGGTTACCCAGCACAGCATTCAGAAGATGCATTTACCCTGAGGACACTGTCAACAGCCCCTGGCCCAGAGCACCCTCTCCCCAGAGACCTCCAAAGCTGCTCACCGGGTGATGCCTCGGTTGGTGGCCATGATGAGGACAGGGGCCATGTCACTCTCCAGGGCCCGGTTGAGGAAAGAGAAACTCTCAATGTCCAGCATGTGGACTTCATCAATGAACAGCACCTGGAAGCCATTGGGGCATAGCCTGAACATTCCCTGTCCCTTCCCAGGCCCGTCCACACCCGCCTCGGCTCTAGCCACTCACCCCAGGGATGATCTCCGCTTTGCCTTCCTCCCGCCACTCAGCCACCTTGGCATTGATCTGTTCTCGGACTTCTGACTTGATCTCCCCCGTGTCTCCTGCCAAAGATAGGGGTATCTGTTGAGCTAGAGACTGGGGTCAGGGGCAGGGCTGGGCAAAGACAGAGAAAGATGAAGCAGGGAGAGGGCTACGATGCTGCAGCAGGGCCAGGACCCTGAAATGCCCCAGAAGGGCAGCAGGCAGAGACCCTGGGAGGACTAAGGGCACTGCGGGAAGGACGCCTCAAATGGAGAGGAGAAGGCAAGCAGCAGGTCTGGAAGAAAGGTGGCAGTGCCAGGAGAGGGGCAGGACGAAGGGAGGACAAAGAGGGCTACAGCAGCAGAGGCACACATGCGCGGTGCCTCGGCCTGGGTGGGGAGGGGCAGCTGACCTGAGAAGAGGGCCAGGAAGCCCTGAGTACGGGAGTTGATGACGTCAATCTCGTGGAGGGACACAGTGTGCACCACCTCCTTGCGTTTCTGCAGCTCCCCGTCCGGGCACTGTACAAACTTGGTCTGGAGGGCCAAGGGCAGGTGTGAGGGCAGTGAGGGCAGTGAGGGCGTAGGCCCCAGTGGGAGGTCATGTGAAATACCCTAGCACCAGGCCAGAGGCAGCCACGCACCTGGGAGCCCATGGCGTCATAGTCTCGGGCACGTGTGAAAGAGCGGCCCAGCTTGGAAATCTTGCCAGTAGCCTTGTCAATGGTGATCACGTCCCTAAGGAGTGACAGCAGCGAGTGAGAGGACCCTCCTCCCCTCACTGACCCCGCTGCCCACATGGGCCCGCTGGCTCACCCGGCCTGGACCTTGTCCTTGGTCAGAGACTCGATCATCTTGGTCCCCAGGTCATAGATAGTCTCCATCTCAGTGGTCTTCAGGGTCAGTTTGCCCACCTTGGATCCCTGAGGGGACACACCAGGAAATGCTCAGAGGACGGCACCCATTTTTGGCCATAGCTTCAAAACTGGCGTGGCACAGGAAGCTCCTGGCCTTGGGAAGGTGATCACATGGGTGCCAGGCTTGAGATGTACCCTCTAATGTGTGCTGCTGTGTCACCGTGAACCCACAAAAGGGTGGGGAGCTGTCGAATTTAACATAGCTCTTTCATGCTCTTTCATGAAAGGCATCGGGTTTTGTTCTTTCTTGGCATTTCCGGGCTGGAACCCTGGGCCCAGCACTGTGCCACCCAGCCATGACCCTGGGCTCTCAGGTCAGTTCTAAGTAGGCCCGGCCTTTAACCGAGCAGCATCCTCACACAGTCTCATTGTCTTATCCAGCTACACCCGAATCCTGGACAAAAATCAAGCAGGAAATAAAAGGAAAGACAAAGCTGGGCCATCAAAGTGGCTGGGTGGGCAGGGCATTTGAAACCAATCTTAATGACCTTGTGAGTTTGTGCCACAATTTGTCCTCTGATCTCTACACACACTAAATAAATGCAAAAACAAAACAAAAAGCCTTTTAGAGAAGGTTAATTAAAAGTAAACAAAACAAACAAACAAAAGCCCACACTCCCCTCACGACCTACGTACGCTCCTTGGTACTTTTAGGGCAGTCAACTCTCTGTCTCTGGATCCTGTCAATCTCAAATGATTCCCAACCCCAGTAGTCCCAGAAGGAGGCAGGGTAAAAGGAGGGGGTAAGGGGGAGCTGGGATTATCTGTACATACATATTTGAACATTTTATTCTTTTTAGTTACAAGTATCTGTGTGTATCTCTGTGGGTTTGTGCACACCAGTTCAGGTACCCAAAAAGGGCAGAAGAGGATAGCAGATCCCTGAAAATATTGGTACAGGTGACTGTGAGCTACCCAGTGTGGATGTTAGGAACTGAACTTGGGTCCTCTGGAAGAGCTGTACAAGTTCTTGAACACTGAGCCATTAAATTAAAAAAAAATCCTATCTATATGTCTGTATATATATGTGTGTGTGTATAATGTATCTGTATGTACATATATATATATACACACACACACAAATCTTAAAGACATTTTTTGGGAAAAACCTTATCTATAATATTCTTACCATATTTACAAAATCTAAGCTTTATGAACAGATTGAACGCAATTATTAAAATTCCTGGGCAGCATAGCTATGCTAAATCCATTTCCATTAACAACACGGAAGAAGCTGTGGGTGACTGTACATCCTAACCTGAACAGTAAGAAGCAGGAGGTGGAGGACCATGAGCCAGCAAGGCTGTGCATTAAAAAACATTAAAAACAACAAAAAACAGAAGCAAAAGAAAACACAAACAAATCAAGAGCGCTTGTTCACACCTGTAGCCCCAGCACTCAGGAGACTGAAGCCAGCCAGGGGGAGATCCTACCTCAGAATGCAGTAGGGCTGGGATGTGGCTCAGTGGAGAGCTTGCCTATCCCAAACAAAAGGCTGGGCATGGAAGGCCACCTACAATCCTAGCACTCAAGAGGTGGGGCACCCTCCGGTCAAAGCCATCCTTAGTTACATAACAAGCTCAAGGCCAGTCTAGGCTACTTGAGACCCTGTATAAAAAAAAATTCTTGTGGAGGACTAGAGAGTTGGCTTGGCATA